CCAACCTTTTGCATACCATGCGCCAATTTTTTGATAGACGAGTTCAGATGCGCAGTGGCGTACCGTGAGTGTTAGCAGCCCGGGGCGGAGAAAAATTTCGGCCACCCGTTAATTAGGTATTTCAATTTATAAGAAGAAACTATTTATAATCTATAATTTATAAGAGAACTATCTTACACGGGTAGCTACACTACCCGTATAAAGTAGTTCTATATGACATCAGTGGTGTACGTGTACACGAATGCATCGTGTAACGTACAAGCAAAAAAAAAAAAAGGTCGAGAGGTCGATTGCAATGAAGCCTAATCTGGCAATGTTGCTCGAAAACGACTGAAGCGCCATTTGTAATCGTCCAATGCGCCAAGTTTGGCGCATGCGCCGCGTTTTGGCCACCCCTGCTCTACTGTATATTATAAAATTCATATATTTTACATCTTTTGTTTAATATATAGTGCAAATATACAGGAGAAATTATGGGGAATCTGTCAAATTTTAACCGTCCCCGAATTTTTGTATTTTTCTACGTTTTGACACTCCCGAAACCAAAAAAAAATGTAAAGTTTGTGTATGTGTGTGTGTTTGTTGGCTTCTATTACGGTTAATATTTCATAATGGGGTAAAGTTTAAGAAAAAAAATTTGGCATGGTGACTTGTATATAAAGGACATTGATGCTGTTAAATTTTGGAGTACAGAACTCAAGGGGCTGTAGAGATAAGGGAGAATATGAGACATATCTCGACTGGGATTAGACTTAAATAAAAGTTTTACTTGTATGAATTTTAAGCTGTTTCTTCAGAAACACGTCTCCGCCCTCAAAATTAAGTGTTTTGCCTTTTACAGAAATTATTAACGTAAAAATTTTTTTAAAAATAAAATCTCATAACACATGTTGAACAGAATTTAAAATCTAGTTTTAGTTACTGTTTGCAATAAAAAAGCTAATCGTGTTCAACCGCTTGTAATTGTTACATATGAACATCGTTACAGGTTAATCCACTTTATTAAAACTTACCTTGATAATACCTTTCAAACGATTTTCTACAATAGATTTCATTTTTAAGAAGTTATCTGGTGTTATATTGGTCACAGCTGTTTTTAAGAAGGAATACATAGAAGAACCCAATTCTTCTTCCATCGTTGGAATTCTCAATGCAGTAATATCTATTATTATTAATTGTTTGAGAAGATAAGACTGAAAACACCGAAAATTATTATTTTAGATCTCGTTAAAACCTCTTAAGTATTTTAATTACGAGTTTACCTTCTGGAAAGCCAGTTCCATGGCAACAATGCCTCCTAGACTGTGCCCAATTAAAACAACCGGTTCATTGATCTTCTTCAAAAAATTTTCCACGTCGTTAACCATTTCTTCGAGCATCATAGTTGAGATTTTAGGACTATTTCCGTGATTTCTCATATCCGGAACATAAACCTACGTCAGTAAAACACACAGTCCATGGGCATCCGCAGAAAAGGCAAACGGGACACTTGTCCCTCCCTGGGATCGAGAAAATATTCCACAAATTACAATCATAAAAATGATGATTGTACTTAAACCTTCGATCACGGGTTGCTTTAACTGTTTTATAATTTCATGCCTGTCATAAAAACCCTCCAAAAATTAAATAAAAATTTATTGGTGTAATTATTTGTCTCCAAGTTCTCCCTGGAAAATTTTCTGCGGATGCCCATGCTCTAGTCTCTATTCGAGTACATAACAAAAGATATAACGAATGTAATATATTTTACCTTCCTAACAGATATATCTGCAATATCTTTAGCTATTTTCTCCCAATTTTCTTTAAGATCTAGGAGTCCGTGCAAAATGACAACAGGAGAGCGCGATGCCACTAACATGTCTTCGTCTGTCCCATCGTAAAAGTCGCAGACGAGTTCCACGTAATCCTTACTAACAATACAGAGACGTCACTGGTTTGCTTTCAAAGAAGTTCTTAAACTAATCTTTTATCTACCTGCCATTCGTCTCCATCGTACAAGATCTTCGCAAAGTCTTCCTATTTTTTACTTCGATTAAACCTCGTCTTCTTATTTTATATCTCACTCCGTCTATTTCAACTAAAAGGAAAAGGGTAAAGAATATTTGTCCTTCCTCTTAATTGTTTCATTGTTCTCATATTTTCCTTAACCGCTTTATCTTACTTAAAACTGAAAAAAGAACGAAAGATAAGCGTTAATTTTGAAGGAAAAGCTTCAAATTTTATTTTTCATTGTCTCGCCTTTCTGCGAAATCTGACGCCAACGAGTAATTATGTTTACAGCTGGATGATCTTGAGAACAGCTGGTATCACCTTTCGCGGAACATATTAGTATAATAGTGTAACTGATTTCCAGTTAGTAGGTTTATATATGATTATTTTTATTTTAGGGATTGTTTTCTATTTTTTGTTGGGAGGGTTAGTTTAACATTCTCATAAAATCTACAGAAGGAGAAGGGTTTAAAGTAGGGTTAATACTAGCTGGCCGTATATTTTTAAATATTTTACAAAAATTACGTTTTTTATTGCGATTTCCGACCCCAACGACTTAATTAAACGTATATATAATAAATTCTATTAATTAAAAAAGTTAAAAATCTATTGGAGGTCGTTTTTGATATCAAAAAGTAAAATCCGTACACTAGATCTTTAGAACGATGAATGAAATATATATCTATATCTATATATAAAAATGGACATGTATGTCCCTATATTTCACTTTTCCGCCAAAACTACACATCGCACGTAGATGGTGTTTGTATGTGATAGTAGCCCCAAGTCTCCATTCGTGCATAGGGGTGGTTGCGTCTCGATAGCTATAAGGGTGCGGGAGATATGGGGCTGGAAGTGACTGAAAGTGGCTTTCTATTTCGAATGTTTTGTTCGAATTTCTTCGAATTAAATTCGAACATAAAATTCGAATATTGGTTCGATTATAGAACGATTGTAAACGTTCCAGAAACGTTGAAAATAGTTCGTTTGACTAAACGTAAAAATTCTCTAATTTGTCTGGAAACGGGGGACCTAATTCTTGCATTCTGTGAAAACGGATAAGATTGGCTATAATGTAATTATCTTAATCTTCACTATCGTTACTTTTTAAAAACCCAGCGAAGCGGGTCCTTGCAGCAAGTTTGATATAAAAATCCCATAAAAATAACAATTAAGCGTTAATCGCGCGTCATTAAAGGTAGATTAAAATCGCGATAAAATGTTTTCGCGCGGGAAAAAATTTTTGCAAAAACTTTGGAGACTTAAAAAACATCCAAAAATTAAAAAAAAAATTTCCCGGAGGGTCCAAACGACCAAATTTTATGCAACTTATGTAATATTATTGTCGTTAGTTACATTTCGTATTTTCCCGGAATTACAAATAAAGTCAAACAATATAAAGGCAGTTTTCAAGAACTTATAAATGAAATGCACGAAAGTTTGTAGTTGCCGAGAGTTCTTTTTCTGAAAAATAAGTGAGTTTTGCTTCAAAAATTTCTTGTCTACACCAGTGGCCAAACACTAATTGGTCATGGCTTTGCGCCTGACAAATAAGATGTCCACGTTGTTTTTCACGTGCCTAACATCTAAAAAGAAACAAGTTTCCCATAGAAAGTCCTTTCGGGAGGCACCGCCCCTTGGCAGATCATCTTTGTGTTACGTTACTTTATTCCATCGATCCAATCCTTTTTGTTGGATGACCAGGACGACCCTTAAAGATGAGTTTTCTCATTTTTTCCAAATAGGTTTTATTGGGTCTGTTTTCCAGAATAAAGCTGATTCGTACCAGTTGAATAACAGTTCAACGGCATAACATCATTTTTTAAACTCATCTGGAAATTTCTCTGTTGCAAATTAGTCAACACCAGCACATTCTCCTTGTACACGCACATTATGAATACCCCATTATTTCTTGTATTATTGTCTAAATGTTTCTTTTTTATTCTTCCCTTCGTCTTCATTTTCTTTCTGTTATCTTACCGATAATATACTATTATGAAATGAGTTTCGATACATAGCAATTTTATGTATAAATACTTGTTATATAAAAGTTTTTCTTCATTGTGAAGAAGAATTTCATTATTGAAAGTGACATATTTCATTCTTAAAATGAAATTATATGCTGTCAAATCCAATCCGATATACTGTTACTTCTGTGGTAGTATGAAAGAGGATAAGAAAAGGCTCGAAAATATTATAATTTTTGTAGTCTTAAACTTCAAATTCATATTCTGATACAAATATTTAAAAGCATTAGCATTATTCTAGAAAATACATTATGTAATTTCTTTCTGTATATATTAATACCCAATAAACTTTCAGTGGACACTAAAAAGATAATTAAAGGAAACTATACGTACAGTACGTTACGATTAATTAGATGCCAAGAGGAAAACTTTTCAAATTACAAGCGTTATAACTTATAACAGACATTAAAGTATTTAACATGTAGATATACACATCTATAAATAAATTAATGATGTACTGTATTTATATAAATTTAAAATTGTGATTTCCTTATTTTTGTATTCATTTTACATCTGTGCCGCGTTATACAGAACTTTCAGTGGACAGCATTGAGAGCTGTTAAGTGAAACATTCATAAAAATTAACAGTATATAAAGTTCGTATTTAATTTTATTTTTCTCTCGCAATAAACACAATATAATTAACAAAATAACTTTTATTTTCATCATTTTAAACGAACGAGAACCTCAAATATTTATTTATAGGTAGATTTTGATCTAACAAACACGTCTTTACGTCTGATGTTTGATGAAAGAATGATGGACTCAGACACACGTACGTTCTAGACCTAAGTCAGGGCACATTCGAGAATTACAAAGATACCTCCTAATTATATTCAGGCGCTCTGATCGTCTGAATATAATTAGGGAAAGATTTTCTAGAAATACAATCTTAACACATGGATTTTCATTGAAAACTAAGTAGTCGCCGTGTAATCATGTTGAAATTTACGCTAATTACTGCATTTTATGGCATAAAAGATGGAATCCGATTTCAGTAACTCTGATTCAACTTTCTACAAGTCAATAAACACAATTTAAAAATAATTTAATCCAAAGAAACTTTAAGATCGAGCGTAACAAAAGGTCAAGTTAACAAAATTTAATAAATTAATCTAGTTTTGGATCCATAATCATCACGAATTAGTAATAACCACTTTACCACAGATGTTGAGGATTCTCTTTATACCTAATGTAATCTTCTAATTTGAAGAAAGATAACTCAGTTTCGTTACACACACCGCTCTCATTTAAAGTTTTATCCTCTTTCAGGATAGAATTATCGTCATCATCCACATTTATAACAGGATCGGCTCCTTTCGCTCTATGTGCTTGGTGATGAATCTTCATAGTGTCGTATTGGTAAGTTCTAAAAGGTGGTATAACATCTGGTTTATTTTGTACTAGTTCTAGTACTTTCCTCTTAAACTGGGATACGGTTTGTGCCGTATCTACTCCTTTCATGACGATGTGTCGGATGTTCCTGTGTTCGAAAGAACGAATTAACCTTACAGTCAGAACCACGCGCTCACCGTCCATCTGTAAAATAGAAATTAACATTCTGTATTAAGAAACGTATGCAAAAAAAATCTATGGATTTCATACAATGGTTTTGCATAGGATCATTTCTTTGCAACATGAAATAGTTCTCTCTCTTGGCAGTAACAGAAGAGGATTTTTCGATAAGCTTTCGTCGCAAAAGGGGTCTTCTCGGGAGTCATTTCCTTCCGCAGATAGCCCTTGTGTTGTCTTTTCTTATTCTATCAAGCCAAGCAAACAGAACTACTGGTGACTACCACAACAAAATGAATTTGAATATATACGAAATATAACATAACATGAAACGCCGTTATTGTAGACAATGCCTCTTGTCATTCCTTTCAAATAAACAAGTGTCCTAACTGAACGCCAAACAAGACATCACGGATTGGCTTACAGTAAATAGAATTCCATATTCACACGGTTTACGTACAGTACCTAAGATCAAACGTCTGAAACTCGCAAATTTAAATGCTTAAAACTGTTTCGACTGTGTTGTGAAGCAGTGTGCCACCAGCATTAAGTCTTCCTGTATATCATTGTGATGTCAATGTAATCGACTATATTTGGGGAAAAGATAGGCATCTGAAAGTAATTTTTAAAGCTCGCTACTAAGTTATAACCGTTCGCAATAGCAATAGCGAAATGGTTCTAAAGTGAGCAACAAGAAAGCTCTGCTTATTTAAAGTCCCTGCTTGCAGGCCGAACGACGGAGCGGTCAATGTGGCAGCGTACCGCTCTGAGGAACCGGGATCAAAAAAGCCTCAGGAATTTTTCTGGTGGTCCCCGTCTCACCTGGCGATTCTGGCAGAACCCATAATGGGCTTGCTAAAAGAGGTCCTCTTTTAGCAAGCCCACAGGGCAGAAAGTTGAAAAAGTCCCCGCTTTTAGTTATGCTTTCGATATTCAATACTTTGATTTTACACCGAAAACAGCTAAAACTCTAAACAATGGTTTAGCTTAATTTGAAATACCACATGCCACTTTTATTTTACTCTAAATATCAAATTCCTTTAACATCTGTACGTTGTTTTCAATCACTAATAGAAATCAATCAAATATGGAGAAGACCCCTCATAATAATTAGTATCAATGCCCTGATTGGTCAGTATTAAAGTGTTGCCAGAGACTCAATTTTTGAAACATTGCTAATTATTTTCTTTCATTGATAGGAATTTACTTTAAAAAATAATGTACGAGTAATCTGACTGATAATAATAAATTAAAATTTTAATTTTACTTGAAATAAAAAATTGTTTAATAAACAATTTGAATTTCACATCACGTCACCGTCAGCATGTGTCATCCATCGTAATGGCGACGACGGCTACTCTAAATAACGGAGTGATTTTGCCTATTTTGGGCCGTAAGTATTATATGACAGCTTTTATAAAATGAAAAACGACTTTAAATATGGAATTTCTAAAAGATTTAACTGTTACTTAAGTTACAATATACTCACTCGACTGTTAATGTTGTATTCACACACACTTCTGTATGTAGAGAACGATTGATTCTCGCGAAAGGTCACGTGATACAATTACTTTTAAACTAAATCAAGCTTCGTGTTTAGATTCACGACGAATTAATTGTAATTATTTGCTAGAATGTAATTATTTAATATAAAATCCTACGAAGGTTGAGATTTTCCTCCGATGTTTTCAAAGTTCTTGGTGAAGTGTTGCCAGATAATATGATCACGTCACAAATATGTAAAGATGGACCTTTATCTGCGTGGAAAGTACATTACCCATGCCTAGTTATTAAAAAATATCTTAAATAAAAAAACACAATGAATTTTGCCTGTGTTAACATTCAATATTTGTTTTCTGTACATTTAACAATACTACTTCCACATGATACTGAATGTACCATTTCTCATTTGTTCTATGTAATTACAAATTGACACTGTTTACATTTTATTGTTACTAACATTGATTTTATTCCTCATTTGTTCTAATTCCTTTTGTGTAAATCTATATACAGGATGCCCTGCAAGAATGGAACCATAGGAGTTATGTTGATTTTTTATGTATTCTTTCACAGTTAAGTTGTTTGTTAAGTTATGGCAATGCGACACTTGGGTGATCTACCTAGGGGGATGCCTTCCGGGAGGTCTTTTTAATGGAAACTGGTCCCTATTTGGGCGTTACAGACGCGGAGAAAACCCGGAAAACTCCACGTGGCCAGCCCGTCCAAGCGAGGCACAAATCCACAGCCGAACTCCCAGTGTTCGGGGTACTAAGACCGCTTGGCCACTTGTGGGCTCTTCACAGTTAAGGCACGTTGCCAAAGAGCAACAGGCAAAATCTAGACTGTCACTCAAACATGATGGTATGTATGTATGCAACTTGTTAAACACTTCTGCAAGTTCCCAGTAACAAAATAACTAATTTGTTCCCCTTTACTCAGAATTAAGAAATAAAAATCAACATATTCCTATGATTCCAGACCATGGGAACCTGTATATGTCAAATGGTAAGTTTTAATAAAAAATGTAATTTAAATATTTGTTTAAATGGAGGCAATGTCAAAATGCCTTTGCAAAGGCATTTTGACATTGCCTCTACTCGACCAAAGGCATTTATTACAATGCCAATGTGATAAAAATCAATGTAGATCGACCCACGATTTATCGCACGCATCTCAAAATTTCGTCTGAGCTTTCTTTTTAATTCTTTTATTTCAGTCGGAACGTATCGACTCAGAGATCCAGAATTAACAAAACTCATTGTTTCTAGTGCCCTTCGACTCGGTTACAAGTTAATCGGTAAGTTGTAATTTGTGATTATTTGATAGTTTCGTCTCGATTTCTACAAGTTTATGTTTAGACACTGCATCCGGTTATAAAAATGAAGAAGTCATCGGTAAATGTCTGAAAGAGGAACTGAGTAAGGGAAACAGACGACGAGAGGATGTATTCATTACTAGCAAGTTAGGTTTGCATTGTTTAAGTATAATAAATTTAATCAAACAACAATAAAATGTTTACGGTCTCCCTTTCATTACTAAGGTCCGGCTCAGCACGGAAGACAGCAGGCTCGGGCAACGCTGACAAAATCGCTGAGCGACCTTCAGACGACCTACCTGGACCTGTATCTGATACACTGGCCGGGCTGCAGCGGGTTGCAGCCAAATGATCCACGGAATTCCATTCTACGTAAGGAGAGTTGGCTAGAAATGGAAGAAATGTACAAAGAAGGTAAAATGTAGTCTGTTCTGTATAATTATAAATAGAATTAGTCAAATAGAGACAAGGAATCATTCAGAACATGCCATCTCTGGACTTTTGTAATTCATAAATAGAATATGTAATGCGAGGCCATATAACAAACATTTTGAGGAATTATTATAATTTGTTTTGTAGTAACATTTGCCATTTGAAATAACAAGTTCTAAATTGAATGCCACTATTTGATGATGTAACTGCAGTTTTCGATAACTAATTGCACTCTGTTCTTAATCGATGATAGAAGAGATCATCTATCATTGATTAAGAACAGAGTACAATTAGTTATCGAAAACTGCAGTTACATTATCGAATAGTGGCATTCTGTAACGATTCGAGAATAAATAACAGAGCCTTAAGCTGAATACATAATTTTTGAATTTCCTATGGAAATTTATAGTTATCAATTAATAGAAGTGTTTCTATGGGTTTCTCCTGTTTATGATTTTTTAAGTATTTCAGAAGTTAAATGCCATAATTTTATGGTACATGCAACAAAACATAACTGTTTTTCTATTTACAATGGTTTTGTGTACTTGATATTTATGGTGTATTCTTTATTGAATAGAAAATTTATGGCTTAGCATTTACGGTGCGACTATGCAGACGCGAATTTAGTAGTGAGCGAGAGGTTGCGAGCAATATAGTTCTCATAAAGGAAAACAAGCACAAGGGAAAAGAAAGAAATCTTGCTGGCGAGAGCAAATTTCTGGTTCTCGCACATATCTGACAGCGTTTGATATTTATCGCGTCTTGCCTTTTCTCGCTATGTATTCTCACTCGCTTGGAAAATTCGCCCGCTTGCATCTGCATAGTTGCACCCTTACCCCAGGTACAATACAAGCTGGATCTTTTTGCTTTATTTCTCAAGTATAATGCAAGTATAAATCTTGTATTGATTACCAAATTTCTAATTTTAAAAACCGACTTATCATACAATTAGAAAACTGTTGACAACAAGAATAAAGCTGCCATTGATCCCAGTAACAAGAGAGAGGCTTTAGAAGCAATATTTATGACAGTACACAACTGCATTATTGTATCTGTTTTAAGATATATTATTGTGTATTTACTATATTGTTTTGGAATTATAATCTTAGGGGTTTTCACAAAAAGTCACAAGTGTACACGAAACCTGTTTGGATACTTTAAATTTTTTATAGAATTAGATAAGAATGGATTTCACACACACACACTTCTAGCATACCATTCTTGAAATTTTATTGTTATTTGTTTGTGTTCTGTGATAATATATAGTCTACAAATTATTAGTGCTTATAAGTTATGATGCATGAATTAAGACTACATGTAGGTTTGCAATGGTAAAATCACATTATCTAGAATGGGATTGGACTAATTTTTGTCTGATGCAAGTTCTATCTTCCTAAGTAATAATGGAAAAAAAAAAATTGCCTTACTCTTTAGTTATGTTAATCTTCTATCTCTTTTCACTCAAGGTAAAATTAAAGCTATTGGTGTTTCAAACTATACTATTGCTCATCTTGAAGAATTGTTAAGCTACTGTTCCATTCCACCTGCTGTTCTACAGGTAATTCAATTAATACATAAAATAATACTTGCAGTTGAACCTCGTTTATATGACTGAACTACTTTGATTCACTTTTAGACTGAATGTAATAATAACAACAGTGTAGTGTGCACAAAATACTGTTACAAAAACAGGGCATACCTATGGCAGCCCCCTCTCAGGGGATTTATTAAATACTATACAACTGAATTCTTAGTAAATCTTTATGTTTAAAATAAATATACAAAAAGTAAAACATAGATTTACTATATGTTCAAATGTATATTTATCATACATTCTTAACAGTGTGAAATTTGTTTGTTTCTTTCAATGGACACGTCACATACCAGTCATGAAAGCTAACTTTTAGAATAATTCTTCATTCTAACCAGGACTGTGGAGTCGGAGTCAGGAAAAATGTGTCAACTCCGACTCCAGCATTTTAAAATTTAATTTAGTATTTTATATTTATTAATTTTTTTTAATGTTTTTGTATTTCATTATAATTCATTTATTTTAAAAACAAAATGCAACAATTTAATTTATTAAATATGTAGTATTTGTGTTTAGTAGTTAAGTTATTTTGACCTAATTGAATTTGATTATTTTTGATTCATTCCTTTAGGGTAACAAAGGAATGAATCAATAATATTAAAATCCGCTCTAAATAAGTACTTTGTTTTTCTGAATGAGCCAGACTAATTGATCAGAGTATATATATTTTTGTTTTCTGAACAAGGGGCTGAAGTAGCTAGATCGCACACTTTTTAGTTGTACTAACTTTTCTGGAAAGGTGAAATTGAAGTGCAAAAGCTATAGAATAAAGATATGTAGAATTTTATTGCTCCCCTTTTTCCTCTTAAAGTGAAAATTTTCAGCATGTTTGTTTCAACTGGCAACGTGATTTGTTAAATGGGAACATCTGTCAGAAAGAGTATCATCTTACATATTATTTGCTTTATTTTGTAGCTGCTGATGATTTGCTGCGTGTGGACTGGCCTGAAGTGAATATATACTTTTTCTTTTTTTTTTAAATCATTTCATTTTAATATGTAAAAATTTTAATATAGCACACAGGAAATGCTAGCTAAAATGTTTTTATAATGGAGAAAGAACCATACAGAAAATATAACATACATTTGCAATGAACATATAATCGAAACATATAAACGAGGTTCAAAAGATTATATACACAGGGTGTCTCAGTTAAACGTTTCCGAACTTCTAAGAGGGGTAGGGTGCATCCCGACGACTCTGAATCATATAGCAATGCAGGGTTGGAAATGCTTTCCTGAAGCAGTGATGTACACAGAAACAGCTAACCTCTGGTGCAGGCTTGCAAAGAAATTATGGCAGGGAATATGCCTCATCGGATATCTTTCTGCGTACAAGTGCGGTGCAGATGGCTCATTACAATCTGCAGGCCCGTACACCAAATGGATATCAGCTAACTCTGCATCCTTGTGTGAAATGATGATTCCCTGCAAGAACGCTCGGAACTTTTGCGCAACACCATCTACCGTGTTAGGAAAGCATTTCCGACCTCACATTGCTATATGATTCCAAGTCATCGGGATGCACCCTACCCCTTTTAGAAGTTCTGAAATGTTTAACTGACACCATGTGTGTATATATATATATATATATATATAGTGTGTGTGTATATTGTGTAAGACTATATTGTTGTTTCAGGTTGAAATTCACCCATTCTTGTGCCAGAAAGAATTGAGAAAGTTCTGTAACCAGCATGACATTCATGTCCAGGCATATTCTTCATTGGGGGCTTCTGCCGGATGTGTGGAGGTTAGTCATCTTTGTCGAGACTGTTCTTGGCAAATTATGTAAATTTTTTCTTACTTTTAGCTGATGTCCAATGAAGAGGTACAAGATATAGCAAAATACCTCTCCAAGTCACCAAGCCAAGTACTGCTAAGATGGGCAATACAACACAGTATAAGTAATGAGTTTTTTCTTCTTTATGTTACAATTTTCAGGATTATTAAACTGCCATTTTATTTAGGTATCATTCCAAAGACTTCCAGAGTTGACCGGTTGGAAGAGAATGCAAATATATTTGATTTTTCATTAAGTGACAACGATATGAAGCGGTTAGATGATCTAGACAGAGATTGTCACTATTGTTGGGATCCAAAACTTATTTTGTAGTTTTATAAATCTGAAAAATATCTGTGATGAAGAAAAAAGAAATTGTTTATTTGTAGAGAAATACTAGTTGATCTCATAATTCTTTTTTATTCCTTGTCTTTTACAAATGACAGGAACATCTTTGCAAACAGTAGGAAATACATTAATTATAAAATTTTGAGGCCTGAATGCAGACACAGGCACGCTAGGTGAAGATTGTCTCTCGGAAATAATAAATTAAATTGTCCATTGGTTTCTGTAGAATTACATGAGCCTAAACAAGATTAGTTGTCCAATGTAACAGCCCGGAGCTGTTTAATTCTTTTTGTTTTTGCAAAATTTTAAATAATAAAACTAATGAAAACCTAAAAAAAGGCTTCCAAACAATCTCTGGTCTACAGAGCAAATTCTTTGAGGAAAAAAAAAAATCACAACAAAAACTTCATTATTCTTCTAAGCTCTATGGAAGCCCTTCCTAACTCATGGAAGAAATAAATGGCACGTCGTATATGTGGTAATATAACAAAATCACATTCTTCTATGGAAATCTGGAAGGAAAGTTAAAAGCAGCAATGTCATCAGATTATAACAAAACTTGCACTTCGGTATTTAACCGTTCAAAAAGCTAATGACTGTGTTGCATACATTAGCACCACGTGCTGTTTCCGCGAAACAGATTAACAATATTGCTCGCCACCAGCGACCTTGCAAACATTTACGAATTGCCACATGTACCCTGAGTTGCATTAGCTTTTGATCAGAGCATTCCTTGCAGTCTTCAATTTGTCTATCCTCTTCTGCAGATGAGCATTTGCAGTTTCTAGTTCTTCGATCCTGGTTTGTGCTTCACGTAACTGTTAAAACAAACATTTCTGTAAATTTTCTGATGAAATGGAGATTGAGATTTATGCAAAACTTATCTCACCTCTCTTAAAACTTTACGCTTTTCAGCCTTTAGTTCATCTTCTACAATTTCTGCATTTTCTGTCGAAGTTTTATACCTGGTTACTTGATTTTCTAACCTAGTTACCTGAGAGAAATTTATAAAAATGTTAAAAATATAATTAACTCAAATTGACAATATTGGATACTTACAGTACTTTGAAGAGTTGTAACATCTTGCTCTGCTTTTTTCAATTTAAATTTATATTCACCTATTACTTTGTTGGCTTCTCCTATGAGAAAACAAATCTTTAATTTGAAAATCAAGATCAAATTTTAAAGATATTTGAAATATCTCACTTTGTACTTCTAAAATTCTCATCTCGGGTCCATTAACCTGTGGTCCGTGAATAAGCGATACTGCTTCCATCTTTGCAGTTTTCTGCCTTTCTTCTTCTAGTTCCAGTCGCAACCTGTAGATCTGAATACCAGACAATAAATGAATTACAGTATTTGCACAGAAGAGATTCTGGTTTTACCAAAATCTGATTATTGCAGCTGCAGTAATACAAGAAAGGTAGTCATTTTGCACTTGAGTAATAATTCGAAAATTCCAGAAGAAAAAAAGCCTGGAATCAGATTCAATCTAAAAATACAAAGGCTCTCAATACATTACAACTGTTTTAGTTTGCTGTAAATGATGATAAATCCATAGCAGACATTACTCACCAATGAAATGAAACTCGACCTGCAAACTAAGTAGATAGTTTCAAACTCACTGACCACGGGAGGAGAGCATTGGCGTGAATTGAAGAAAAAGTGCTTGTCAGTCACTGCCAGTATTGTCAAAGAACTTTTATCAAGTGTATGTCTAGCAATCAGTGACAAAACTGTTTGGTGGGAATCATACAGCTGCAATTGTCATGGCAGATGTGCTGCGAACAAGGCCCAAATCTCACGATCCAATGCAAGCTGGCAGCTCAATGGTGTAAAAGATGATGTTCCTGGACCACAGACTGGAAAAAAAATCGTGGAGTAACGAATCACACTACACACTTTATCAGCGAGATGACAGAGCTGGGGGTTGGTGTTTGCATGGAGAACAGTACAATGTGGTGCAGGATTACAAATGGTTTGAGGCTGTTTTTGCTGGCACAGATTGGGTCCTTCGGTTCTGGTACATACCACCATGAATGTAAATGTTTACCAAGACATTCTGGACAATTGTCATCACAGGCAGTACTTTGGTACAGATTCCTGTGTGTTTCAGCACAACTGAGCACAGTGCACACTTTATTCAGGCATTGTTTCAAGAATAGAAGGTTCAACATTTGGACTGGTTGCTCAGAGTCCCTACCTGAACATCTTTGGGATGAGCTGATCTTATTGGACATAACCTTCTTTAAAAGCTGCACTCACAGCTGCTTTGCAAGAAGGATAGAGAAACATTCCTGTCAATATTTACTGAAACTCGGTAGAAAACATGCCTCTGTAAGGTTGCAATAGTAATTAAGGGCCAAAGATGGGCCAACTAAGTACAAACAAATAATACTTCCTTCTGTACAAGAGTGTCTCAATACTTTTGTCCATCTAGTGTATTTCTAATAAGAGATGATCCTATAAAAACATTTACTTTTTACTGTCTAAAAATATTTAGACAGTCAAAGTCTGAAATAGCAGTCAGAAGTTGGTTAGCAATCTGAAGGATGTGTTTGATGACACATCAAAGTTTCTCATGAGTAAACATAAAAATATTAACGGCAGAAGATGGACAGGATGCCAAAGAATTTCATAAACCCACTGGATCTAGAAAAGTGAGTTCAAGGAGAAAAATTGAAAAAGGCAAAAAAAAAGAATTGATTTACATTGAGGAAAAGCAGAATTAGAAAGAGATAAATGACAAACTGCAGTATTTAGATTCTCCATTCTAAATATTGGAAATGTGCTAGGAACAATCCAATTAGATTTTGATAAAACTAGAATCATCTTTTATTTAAAATGCATTGCTTTATGAAAAGATAATGCATTTTAACAATTAAAAATAAAAATCTCACTGCATCAAGTAAATCCTGTTTTTCTTCAGCAAATTTCTTTAATCTGTAATCTGGAATAATGATAATAATTATATCTACAATGAACACATCACGAAATTAATTCTACATCGTAAATCTTACCGAGAGTGCCCTCTCCAGCCTGTTCTAAAATATCCGCTGCTTCTTGTGACACCAGAGAGGCCCTTCCCGGTTTTACGACAACTTTTTCAGGTGTGCTTCGGGGACTTATACCATTTGCTTCACCGTTAACCATTTCTGCTTCATCACCAACCATCAGTAAACCGTGTTCCTGAATCAAAATATTTTTGCCATAAATTTATAGGAAAATGAAAATGCAGAGAACAGATTTGGACAAACCTTTATCAGATCATCTCTTAGTTTGACATTTTCTTTTAATAATTCATTTTCTTCTCTTATCCTTTTAAAATCTCTATTTAAATGATCAAAATCCTGTATGAAGAACAGTTTGTTTAAAAAAGAATGTTTCACTAGCAATGTGAGCATGGAAATTCGGTGGTCAAACTTACTTTCAACTTTGTTCGATGATCTCGCTGCAGCTGAATTAAATTTTCTTCCATTTCCTCTACTTCGTCTTTCAACGTATCAACATTAAACAAAAGAGAGGATTTTTCATTATCCAACTGAGCATTGTTGATCATGGCCCTACGATATTTGTCTTCTAGATCATTCAAATGATACTAAATTCAAATTTTAAATCTGTTACACATATTTTCCCAAAATCAATGAAGTATTTCCAAGAGAATAATAACTGATAAAATTACCTTTATATCCCTCCCATCTATGCTGTCTGTTAAATCTTCACTACTTCTGCGTGAACTGCTATACGATGAGGTTCCGGAAACTATAGACGATGACCGGCCCATCTAAACACAAGAATTGAAATTACAATAGAATCTCTTTTTTAAGAGCCACCCCAAAGTGTTAGTTTGCAAGACCAAAATGCTAGCAAATGTGCACTAGCACAACCTATGACATCAAAGGCTCTGTCCCTTTCTTCTTGACTGCATGGTTTTTCCTTTGCTAGCACAACAATAGAGAATATGCTCACTGTTCACAGAATTCAACAGCTAGAGCAGTCACGCTAGCAAGAGAGAGCGGGGAAGATGGATGACTATATGAACATGTCACATGTCGAAAAAGAAATAGAATTTTATCAATGTATGTAAATTACATGATTAATACATTTAGTATTGAAAAGAAAATAGTATAAACGTTGTATATAAGTAGTTATATATAAAAAGTTTTTGATTAGTTAAGTCTAACTAGGCTTAACTAGTCGAAAGTAGGCATGCTGTTTCAAACTTTAGAATGAAAACTGACTGATTACAAGTATAGGTTATAATAAAATCTTTGTTTTATAGCCAATCCACAGCTGTGGAATCCACGTCATGTGGACTACGTTATGTGAGAAAACATTGTGTAGTTTGCAGCTGCTTCATTCCCACGTAGCTTACCTAGCAAAAATGGCTCATAGCCTCATAGGGAAAAAAGGCGGGGCTTGGGAGCATGATCAAGTGTACGTTAGCTCCCACTTCCTGTAGTTTGCGGCAGCTCTAGTGGATCACAGAACAACAGATTCCTCAAAATAAGTTTTTTCCTAGGTCCTGCCAAATCAATTAATTTTACTTCCTTTTAGTGGATCTGTTACTTGGAATAATGGATTTTTTTCTACCCCAAATATGTTGTAAACTTTGCATTTTTTCAATGTTTAGTTAATATTTGGATATTTCTGGAAATTTGTAGAGTTTGATGATGTACATGTTATATTTGAAATATGTACAATCAAAGAATTGTACAAAGAAAGTCAGCCAGCTGATACAATTGAGTAGTAGTCACCTAGTGAACACTGTTGCTGGTCCAAGTGTATGCTGAAATTTAGTGAGGCCATTGAGTATTTCCAAGTTGTGAAGACCTTCCTGATGAGTTCAACATAAATGAACAGGCAGTACTAATTCAAGTGGTGTTGTATTTAATAGACAGAAAAGTGACATTGAAAGAAACCAAGATAGATGAGTTTTTTTTAACAAATCATGAAGTCAAGCAAAAAGTCCTAATTAGCGTATGTAATTTTCCTCCTTTCCGGCTTACAGTATGTACAGTTTCCGTCAGCTTTATCATACACACATATGGCATAATATGAATGTATGTTACAAACATGTGTGTTTCTATGGGATAAAGAATAGAGATCTCAAGAGACTGAATAATTTCAAGTACTAGTCTTTCTTATATATAGGGGTTAAAAAACAAATTTTTTTTGAATAATGGATATTTTCTTGGATATGCAGGAAATCAGTTATATGCGATATGCGATATAACGGACTCTTGTAACAACGGATAATTTTTGGCAGCCTGAGCAATTTGTTAAAATGAGATTCTTTTGTATTCATAATATTCTACATTGATTACATTTTAGACAAGTTATTGATATAAATCAAATCTTATTTTAAGGCAACTTGTTAAAATCATTCTGACAGAAACACTGATTTGTTTATTTTTAGGTATTCAGAAATTTTCTCTACACCAATCCATTGAATATGTAATCCTACTACAAAGCTATCAAATGTTCAAAAGGGTAAATACAAAAATAAAATTTCTTAGATTGATTGCTTGGTGCACAATAACATTAACAATTAGTATAGATTAGATTTAGATTGTATACATTAGTATTAGATTAAAAATAACTAGTATAAATTAATTGGAATAAACACATCACATTATAATGCTACATGATGCTGATTTATGTGAAAGAGGACTAAGATCTACTGTACTCTATTTTGTGGTTCTTTGAACATTAATCCTCAAACTTTTCAGGAATTTAGAAAATTTTTTACACACACACACCACACACATTAAACTGATATATCAGTTAAATAAACATACATAATTTTATATTAAACTCATCACTTGCATTTTAAATCATTTTTTTGTTTGTACGTAACATCAGCATAATTAGTGCTTGAAAATTTGATGTTACTTTATGAATGCCATCATAATGCAATCTTACCAAGACTGCAAAACATAAGCTTTTACAAAGTTTGTGTAAAAGTATTAAACCTTTTCTACATAAAAATAAGAATTAATGCAAGTTCCTATTATTTAAACTAACAAATTCTGTTCATTAACATTCATTCATTAAGTCTGAACAATCTCTTAAAGGTTGGAATCTAAATATAAAAGCAGATATTTAAAGCTTTACTTACTAATATTAAAAAAAAAGAGAGAGTGAACTTTTTTTTATTCAATTATCTTTGCAATCTAAAATACTGAAAATTATTCATGAAGTTAGAACAAAATTTATCAAACTAAAATATAACTTAGGAATGTTAAAATGCCAAACCTATTTTTATATTTTTTAAATTAAAATAATTTTCTGCATAAGCTTTACAATTTACCTTTGTAGAAAAGGCTTCAAAGTCAATGAACATTCCTTCAAAAACTGAGAGGAAAGCCATTTCGAGCTAGCATTCAACACGCAATCAGAAAAATTTTAATACATCAGACAAAAAGAAAAAGCAAATGAGAATGAAGTAAAATATTTAATTTCTTAATATTAAACAAGTATTAATAAAGTTAAGTTTAATGATGAAACTTCCAAAAGAAATTGCATATAATGGATAACAGAGGTTAAACATTGTGTCATGTACCTGTATTGGTTAACAAATATGACATTGCAATTCAAAGCCATGTTATGTTTCAACTTTAAAATCTAACTAGCAGTATAATTTCTTGATGCAAGTAATCTGTAATGTCGAAACGATACATTGACATCAAAATCATATTTTTTGATGTTAAAATTGTCAGAATTAAAAGTACACAAGTTATCTAGAAAGCCATGTTTTGCCATAATGACAAGTTATTTCTAACTTGTTTACAGTCCGAAGGTTTTATAGGACAGATAATTAAAGAGGAATTGCATAAACAAAAACATACCTCTCTCCCTCCTTTAATGTTTCTGCTAGAGTCGCTAAGTAACTCATAATGACGATCGCTCTGCTCATCAGCCTATAAAGTGGGAGTTTTAGTTTATATTCATCTAAAATACTTAAACGATAATGGAGAAAAGCAACAAAAACGACTAGACTTACCTCCTTCTGCTGCTTTTCCAGCTCTTTCATCCGAATTTCCCGAGCCTCGGCTCTAGCCAACCTCCTGGCAGCCAACCGGGCCTCCGCCTGGAAGATAACTCAATTAGATAAATTACATTTATAAAATACACCTTACAAAAGATGCTTCCCCTAGAAGGAACTGATTACTGATTTTTTTTTTTATCCGAACAAACAGGAAAGGTCCAAACCAGTTTACAGGCTCAGAAAAAAAAGCTTATGGTGACTATCAAATTGCAGTGGTTATTAAGGGAAATGTTTTAAAAATTACCTTTCCAACTCGTCCTTAATCACAAAATCGCAATTAATGTAGATCAGAAGTTGAGTAACGATAGAAACTATTACCAAACTCGTTACTTACATAATCAAAAGCTGATGTAAAAAACTGTTGAAACGTCCAGTCCGACCCCCGATCACCTTCCATTCTAATGATGCAACAACTTTGCGAAAACTGGAGGTGTGTAGAAGTAAAAACCTCACCCACCAAGCCACCTGTTTATAGGAATGACGTGTGTCGATCTACGTTCGATTCTGGATCAATCCTCGATAAAGTTTTAACAAAATTATCGAAGTAAATCGTCTGCGTGATCAAACATATTAGGTACAAAGATCGCTGATAACGTATATAAAACGGGGGTGTTAAAAAAACACGAATTTAAATACCCACCCCGCATCACGTGCACGACTTCCCAAGCTTGGATTTTATGGGGTTTTTTTTAATGGAAGAAAAGGATAAAAAGAAGTCTCCTCTATGTGAGCGTGTGCTACGATTGTTACTGTAGCAGCACAGGTAAGAAAGGGTAAGTGGGACGAAGGATAAAGTTTAAAGGAGTGTCGAACGTGAGGAGAATCATAAACGCGTTATGGAGGGAGGGTCGGAAACACAAAGATGCTATTATGTTAATAAAAATTCGCGAACTTAACATCTTTGTTTTTACGCTTGGCAATAACCCAAAAATGTTCCTTAGTTACGGAAGTAACGCCGCACTAACGAAGTTTAAATTTATGATATAGCTTAACTTCTGTTGAGAACCGTCCGTAACACTATCCGAATCAGAAACTATAAAACTGTATATATTTTATGATGATAAGCATCGGTCGAAGAGATAAGTAAGGCGATAAACAGAATAAAAACGGAGTGGTGATAAGAAAATTACCTCGTCCAGATCCCTCATAGCTTAACAGCTACTTTGTTCGTCCTCTCTACACTTCCTCTTCTATACTATTGATTCCAAATGACAATGTAGAGTGAAGAAGAGCAGACGGAAGGGCGCCAAGTCTCGATCTTTAGCTAGTTACTAGAACGGAGCGCAGTGGGGATATAAAACTAGAATAGAGAGCAAAAAAACTCTACAAATTTCGGCCTGTACGCGTCCGAATCAGAGTTTTAAAGCTGTCATAATGCTACTGAAACGTTAGAAGGATTGTATATATAGAAAGCTTAGACATCGCTCAGGAATTGTGTAGTCAGTGAATATTTAGGAGGAAAAAAAAAGGGGGAAGGTCTTCCTCGATTGTTCTGTTTCTAACTTGTTATTGTATGTAAGATAAGATGTTATCGACAACGAAGACTTATCTCTCTGGATAACGTTCCTATACAGGAAGTGAGTCTTAAAATCGTGTGTGAGAAAAGATCCAAGTTCTGTAGGCCAGTAAGTATGTAGGATAAGGATGAAGGCAATGTTTACTTGCTGCATTTTGGTCCTAAATTGTACAGAATGCGCGATACAGTTCGATAAATCTAGCGTGTGGGAAAAAAGAGCAAAAAATATATAACGTGCTAACTGGTGTAGCACAGACCACGCCATTAAATCTAGGTTACGTGGAGTTTTGTAGGTTCTGTTATGTGTCGTGACAGTGGACAATACGCTAGAAAGTATATGATGATGATTAGTAGTCTTATCGTGTGAAAAACTGTGTTATGATGTGCGAAACAGCAGAAAATACGCTATAAGAATCCGGCCATAATAGCAAATTTAATGGTATATAAACACAGTACCACTACATTATGATGATCAGTAGGCTAAAAAGTTCATTATAAGTCAGAAAATAGGGATTAAGAAGTCAAAATGTATCCTAATAACTCTACAATCCATAAGGTAAGAAGAAAAGCCTATAATAGTTCATAATACATGTACAAAATGAGAAGGAATACTTCTACAAAATTGCTTATAGAAACGTTATTATAGTACAGCTGTGTCTAAGTATTAACAGAGAATTACTTATTTAAAATCGCACAATTGTGCTGGAAATGTGAAACGAGATTGCGGATTACAAACTGTATCTTTGTGTGTGAATTATTCACTAATTTCACATTTCCATGTGTTGGTGACAGTTTAGCGGGTCAAAATTTTAACTATAACGACGTTAATTAGGCCACAGTAAAGTGTAAGGTTTACACGAGTGTACAGCTTGCTACGGTACACAAAACTGCAATAAAATTATTCAGCATTAGCGATAACGACTAATCGAGGGTGGAGTCGAATGGCCGAGACACGCAAACAACGCATTAATTACCAGACACGCAGAAAAAACTGGGCATAAACAAGTTACGAGTCGCAAACTGGGGGCACGCTTTGTACCGTTTTGAAAGCGTGGGATGCGCATTATATATCAATATTTTAAAAATTCAAACCTTGAATCTCCGGATGAAGAACAAGGCGGGTAGGATCTTTTCCATGATGGCGAAGTGGCAGAAACAATGAGTTACGAGACGTTTTCGATTGTTTCTTAACAGTCTGTTGAGGGTGTAAATTAACCTCCCTCATGTTTACGTTGGATAAGTAAACGGAATTTGTCCTTGGGTAGTTTTTAAATTTGTGTGAATCGTTAACACGTTGGCGACGAAGGTGATAGCTTGTAACCATTGCATAAGTGTATAAGAGAGGTGAAGGGTGCGAGGTAAGTTCTAGACACGTTTTTTTTTTTATAACTTTAAAATTAATAGGAGCCGAGCGTTATATGCGGGAATAGTTTAATTACAATGGAGCCTTTCACGCTCCATCGGTTACAGCCGAATGTGATCGATCGAATTACAGGAAGGAGCCACTTCCTGCAAGATTTAATAGTGTCGTTTCTTGGTTTCGACCTCGAATGTACTGTACGTTACATACTATAATAATCAGCTTCCGCATTAAAGAACGGAGCGAGATTTTTTTTAGTATTTCTTTGGCGCCGTTTCAAAAAACTCCATTATGCTCTTCTAATTTTGGATCTATTATCTTCCCTCGACTTTAGTTTAAGCTTATTACAGGGCACTACAACGTTCGAGAACGCGTAAAGGTGTGGAGAAAAAAAAATGCTCAAATACCCTCCAGTGTGGCGTGATCTTCAAAAAACCGGCTCCCGAACCGGTCACGTGACTCGCGACGAACGTCAACGAGTAAACAGAGGATGCTGCTGGAGGAGGAAAACATGAAAGTACTTCTATTTATATGCCTCTAAATCGAGTTTGCGGTTTAAAAAAATAAAAATATTCGACTGTTCCTAACGACTCTGGCGATTGTCTTAAGTTCAAAACACTCTAGCAGAACCTGATTCACACTTTGGGCTTAGTCTTTCTTTCTATGTAAATTCCACTACAGTAAACAAGTTCTTTTTTTTTTTCTTTTTTTTATTTTACTCGGTACACAATATGAGAAGGATGAAAGGTGACAGATTTCAGCAAACTTCCAGTTTTCGAATTCTAAATTTAGATTTTTTGGCTGTTTTCCTTGACATTAAGACTTCTGCCCGCAATGTCAAAATGCACATTTTCTGCACTTGCGGAGAATGGGAATTTAATTTGTAATATGCGCAGAAAAGTGGTAGTCGAAATTTGCCATATGGGAAAATGTTTCGCTTATTAACTTGTTGTAAATATTTAAGCTAAAAGAATATACCTATCTTTAAACTTTCGATGTAAATACTTTACTTCCTGAAAATATTTTTGAGGAAAAATTGTTTTGCATGTGAAGGAAAAGTGATTTAAACATGTATTGTAAAAGTTAGTTTAGTACACTAAATTCAGTTGCAGTTTTATTAAACACACATACGAAAAATAAATTAAGTTAAATGTCACCACTCCCAAATACTATGCAAAATACTATGTAAAATTCCTCCTCTATTTCGCTCCCAACAAGAAAAAAAAAATTAATTTGTAAGATCATTCTAACTATTTTGTTGACTACATCCAAAAGAGAAAGAGAATGGCTTCTCATGGACATCATTCGCATTACTTAACAAGAGAATTGTTTGTTTTCCACGGCTCACTACATACATCTTTAAAATCCGTAGTAGACAAAACACTTTTGGATTCGTAGGTTTGCTTTATTGTCAATTTAAATAACCACACGTTTTTTTCAGTTCTATTTTAAATTGTTCTTCATTGTGCTTGGATAATTGATCATTCTCGAGAAATACTGGATTAAATCCAAGTTAAGGCACTAATTAGTTGCATTATTTATTGAATTTTAATACGAATTTAATGAGAAAAAAAATTATAACAGACAGCTTAATAGTAAATTGTTTAATTTTTACATTATGTATTTGTTTAAATTCATTATTTTTGCAAACTATTAATAATAGAACCAGTACTATAGGATGTCAAAAATTTGCTATTTTTCTTTAGTTATATTCAGGGTTCATACTCAAATTTTTGATTTAAATTCCATGAGTTTCCCTGACCCTCAAGTCTCTTACACATTACAAGTATGGCACATTAACAAAATAAAACATCACTTGACTTACTACGTACATACACTATTGCTTCTCCAACTTTTTAACTGGTTATTTTTTCTAATTAAGAGTTATATATATTTTTTTATAATCAATGAATTAGTAAAATTAAAAATAAAATAAGAAAGACAAAATTATGGCATGTTTTCTCTACATGAAACTAAAATGTTTTATTAAATAAATATAATTTATCCTGTTATTAATTCATAACTGTAAAACTTTGTGGCTTTGAAAAAAGAAACAAGCCATTAATTATTATTAAAATAATCTGTATAATCCATGTACAAAAGTGTAATTTATTAAATTTACCCCTTAATAAATTTTCCAAACTTTATAAAATATTAATAAACTGGGAAAAAAAAGTTTCAGAAATCAGAAATTGTTTTGTTATGTGATCAAAATTATTAAACTGTTTTCTCTCAAACTGCATAATTAATATAGCAGTTTTAAAATTTAAAAATAACAACTGATATTGTTATATGCTAATATATTTTGTGTGCTATAATTTTGGGAAAATTTTGTGTATGTTTGGTGAAATTTTTGATCTTGAAAATACTCTGCACCTCTTTTCATAATTTGTATTGTATCACAATACTTCTTACTGCCAGCAGATAGCTACACTTGGTCAACCATACTGTCAGCAAACAAAATCAACAGGCAACCAAGGAAACAAATCCCCGACATTTCCTTCTTTTTGACGATTTTTAACAAATTTCCCAACTTTCCATGACTTTTTCCAAACGCTAATGAAAATCCCTGATTTTCCAGGTGCATAGAAACCTGTACACAATAATTTTAAAAAATTCATTTTGTGACATGACCAATTTTTTATGTAAAGTTATATGGATAAAAACATGATGATTTGCAAACAAGAGTCTAACTTATGCTGATAGAATTACAAGAATTAAATGTACTAAATGTCAAATATTTGAATGCTGTTTTAACTATGAGAAAACTAATGCATCCTTTGTAAAATATGGAAAAACTATGGTTTGTCTCCAATGATTAAGTTAAACTTACCTCTCTAGCAATCTGATCCAGAGCTTCATCTTCGGCAGAATAGAGTCTGGTTATGGGTCGGCGTCTTCCGCTCGGCGGAGTGGACATTTCGAGGTTCCAGATTGAAGATTAATCTAACTTGAAAATTTACATGAACCTCTCCCGTCCTGGAAAAAAATCAAAACATTGAGAACTTAATAGCTTCCTAATGAATAGGTATGCTTTTCTTAATAGTGACAAAACATCAGAGGACAGAACTGACAAATACAGAATAGGTAAGTCTGAAGCCAATAATTGTATATAGTTTTCACTACTTATAACTAAGACTAGGGCATGTAAACACTAGAAATCTTATAAGTTTTTACTGCCTGGATGTGCTAGCCTTAGTTATAAGTAATAAAAATGAATGATCTTGTAGTATAAAGCTATGCATTACAAGGGTTACTTAGGAGTACAAGCTATAATAGTTTCTTGCATGAGAGTTGCTTCCACAAGAATGCTATAATAGTATTGTGTGTCCACACAAGAATTATACATTTAAGTAATTACTATATTGTTTTGTATTTACATTTCGGTATAATCAGCAAGTCTCATATCTTCACAATGAATCAGTAATGATAAAAATGCACATAGAAACTAGGCTCAAGTTTTGCACACACAATTAAAATATCTGTATCAATTAATTATAGATTAACTTATTATTTTAAGCTACAAAAAATTAGATTTTTAAGAAACAAATTTTTATTAAACTATTTACAATACTAATTACATTAATTACATACATTATTCAAATTTATAATATACATTAGTACTCATTAATAATTAATACTGAATGACAAAATTAAGATTTAATCTTTAAACTATGTCAATAAAAATACTGAAACCATTATCTAATAAATTTAGTAATTGCATCTGGTGTTCTTTATTGACTATTGTCATTTTATAAATATAAAAGTGGCACTTGGCCAAATAAAAAAAAAAAAATAGAGGGAAATCCTTTTTGCGGAAGCAGAGAGGAAGCATCATAATTGGAATTCAATTGTTCTTAAAATGTCAATTATTTTTAATCAAACAAAAAAATTAAATTAAATTGACCCTTTCTTTTATTTAACTCATTCATACATTTAATTGCATGTTAATGGAGTTTACATGTTACTTTAAATTATTAAACATTTTATGAATTTACTGTATGTAGACTACTACATAATTTGATGGCAATTGTGGATGCAACAAGAACAAGTTCTCAGAATAAGTGACAATTTTCTGGGGAAAACGATTAAAAAGTTCAGAGATACCAGGTTCAAGAAAATGTTTTGAATACTGATTCAAATTTTAAATTGTGCTCAATACAAAATTTAATTATTGCTATCTAAATGTCACTTAAGATGAGAATTTATAATTGATTTTTGTCATTATAATTGATTATATTTAGGTAAACTATTAT